CCAGCATTTTTAATCTTCGAACCCAGGCAGAAGTCGGGATCTTCGATGATCGAGCACAGGCAAAGGTTGTGATTTTCAATGTTCGGTCCGAGGAAAAAGCCAGGATATTCGATAACCATATCTATATCAGTCTGTTCATTATCTCAGTTTTTTTTTTCTATCTATTTATCTACCTATCTATCTGTCCATTTTCATTATGATTTTTGATCGATCAACTTGAATAAAATTCTCTTTAGATTCGTTTTATGGTTCATTTATAACTTTATCTGATTATCTTTCATTTGTACACATTTCTTCTTTTTTTCTCTCTCCAAAATTAACATGGATCAGATTAAAATCAAAAACTGAACTTACTTGTGCATGGATTTTGAGAAAATACAACATCATCTATTGCCATATCACTCTCATAACTACTTCCTCTAATTCCTTCAAATATAAGTTGTTCAAATCTGTAAAAGTAAATATATAAATAATTTACACACAAACATAAGAAATAACAGTTTTAACTTAGTTACCTGTTTACATCCTGTTTCATTCATTGCAGTTTTTCAAAATTGACGCTTGTTTATTGTAGACACAACCGGGTTCTATCGTTCTTTATATGATTTTCAAAAGTAATGAATGCCAACAGTTGGAAATAAGTTTATTCTTTACGTTTACTGAAACACTCAGTTTCTTAAATTCTATGAATTTCAGTTTCTCTTTCATACGCAATTTCTGCCTGTTTCTTTCATCTTCTTTGTTTTTCATTAGATAGCTTTCTACTATTGGTATTTTATCTTTCATTTTAGTATATATATATATATATATATATATATATATATATATATATATATATATATATATATATATATATATATATATATATATATATATTTCTATATATATATATATATATTTGAATGATAGCAAATATTTTGTATATTTTTCTTACTTTTTATTTGTTACTGTATATAATATGTGTTATTCTCAGGAGCGTGTAATTAATGTATTATATGAAAAACTGTAATAGTGTTAAGTAGAGCGTTTAATCATTATGATCAAAACTGGAAATCTGTGTGATTTCTTATCTTCAGCAACTTTATAAATAACTCTTATCAATTCACTTCAAACCTTCGTGTCCTGTGCTAATTCATGGAAATGATGCTTGTCTTTTAAATTCTTCAATGTCTTTACGTTGAAAGAAAGAATTTTATTCACAATTCTTTTAATGTCGTTGTTCAGTTTGTTTACTATGGTTGTTCGTCTTGTATTCTTGTAATTGTGCGGCATTGCTTTTCTCGAAATAAAAACAACAAAGCTTTATGAGAAGATGATTGCACATCTAATAGTTGCACATGGCTTCCATCGTGATGGGAGGATGAAAAATAATATGGGGTTAGGTTTTGTATCTTTTGTATAAGTTGGAATTGGAAATCATGAATTTCTATCCACCACATATTACGACAATGAGCATAGAACATGTGTGATGTCGTTTTCTTTTTTCATTTTTTAAAATATTCAATGGAGAATGTTAGGTTGGAGACTGCAATTATTTTTAATAACTCATGGTTGTTTCTCTCTGATGGAGATGGCTTCAATGATTTTAGTCTATTTTTGCTATTGGGTTTATCTATTATTTTGATGTTGTTTATAAGGAGCTGTCTAATGGAACTATCGTCCTTATGAAGTTTATTAATGCACTGTTTGATAGAACTTTGTTCAGATGAATGGCTCAATAAATGATAAAATGACTTTCTACGTTTGGGTTTTGCTCTATAAAATTTATATACAAAGTTGAACTTAAGGTGCTACTTACGATTATTACCGTTATTCACAAAATACATTACAGTAATTACATGCAGTGATAACTCACCTGAGTCAAAACGTTTAGGGAAATTTCATACATCAATAACTGCCATTTTTACACAGGATCAATAGGTATTTGGAAAAGAAAACAAGCATATTCAATAGACAGAAATACGTTTATACACTTTAATAATAATATAGGAAAAAGACATTGAAAATTGCAACTGGAGTCTTTAGGAATCTTTATTTCGAGGGACAGTTAAATCAAAATAAATTTTCTTAGAGACTACCATTGCATTTTCAAATTCGGTTTCCTGTATTTTTACCCGTATGGGTAAACTTTTTTAGCGACGCGTTTCTTCAACTGATGGACTTTATCAATGAAAATGTAAGGATTTTAATTTGCAGCATGTATTTATAAACAGAAGTAAAAATATCGTTATTTTTTTCTAAATTTAAGACCTTTAAGAACGCTCTAAAATATTATTAAGGCTATGTTGAATGCTTATCACCGAAGTCTAGATAGATAAGTCTACTTTATTATTAAGCCTGTAGCCAGAGGAAGATGAGTTCAAGCTTTTTATGTTATTCTTGCCTAACAAACGAGGTAAGACTTAAAATTTCGCTCGCTGATTTCACTTTATGATGCCTATAACCGTTACGCTACCCGTAATCATTATCTATCTATCTATCTATCTATCTATCTATCTATCTATCTATCTATCTATCTATAAAGCTACTAAGTCTCAAGAGGTTACTGAGTGAGTATATACTGAATAGAGAATAGGAGACAAATTACTCTTAATCAGAGAGGACAATAAAAGAAAAAAGAATAAAAAAGGCAGAAGATAACGATTGACACTGAATTTAAATTTTTCAAGATCAAAGTTGACTGAGAATCAAGAAGCAGAAAGAGATTTCTATAAGTGAGAAGTGCGAAAGAAGAAACTATTAGCATAGAACTTATGGTTTCATCTTGCCATTTCAATTGTAAAATGATGAGGTTTTGCTACCAACTCTACATACATTCATAAAGTCTAGCTACCACAGAGGAAATTTCATCAGAACAATTATCATGAAAGTATTTATAGAAAAGGCACAGGCAAGCTGAGTTACGGCGATGGGAAAATAACTGATGAGATGCCAGGTCAGGACCAGTAACATTGAATATTGTTTGGATTATATCAAGGATCTCTACATATATAGCAGAGCACCAGACAAGATGTGGCATCAATATTCAGAACAAGGACGAATGGTTGAATTATAAATATGGCTAGAAAAATTGTCGAGCTGAAGACCTAACAACTGATTCAACTCTTTCCTCTTCGTGTTAGCGGAAAAAACGTTACTCCAAAAAGGCTCAATGGGTCACTCTCCTGGAGGTTTGAAAACTGATGACACCAGGATGGTAATTTAGGAAAATTATAAACAATGTAAGTCCAAAGAAATGGGGAACACATGAATTAATGCAAAAACATCTAGAAATGTGGCCATTCAAGACAAATTTCATTTCGCGATTTGATAAAGATTGAATCATTTCAAAAATTCATGCTGAAATACCATAACCTTTCATTCTTGTAAACACCAAATCCTGTCAAATGACTGAGATATTTAAAGCAATAGCTCAATCTTTACTATTCTTATCTAAAGCTTGATATGCTCTTTCAGCAATAATCGTTGTCTATCTATCCTAGTCTGTTATGTGTTATGGTATCTTACCCATAATAATAATAATAATAATTATGGACTATTCCATACTTAATAAATACTGCGCCTCAGGAGTAGGCAAGGAGTCGGTCGCTCACTTTCTGAGCGACGGTTCGGTTTACCTCTCTGTCTACGGACGGAGAGGAACCCGAAGGAGGCGACGCCGAAGGGCGGAGTCTCCTTCGGGGAGGTAAAACCGGCCTTGAACCCGTTTATACGGTTTCAAATGGGCTATTTTTTGGCCGAGCCTAATGGCTCGGAAAGCCCACGTTAAAAAGGCCTTGTGCCACATGACGCCCTCGTGGGGGGACGACTAAATATAGTCGGTCGCTCACTTTCTGAGCGACTGTTCGGTTCAACTCTCTTCCTACGGGCGGGAGGAACCCGAAGGAGGCTACGCCGAAGGGCGGAGTCTCCTTCGGGGAGGTAAACCGGCCCTGAATCCGTTTATACGGGTTCAAATGGGGGGATTATTTTTGGCCGAGCCTAATGGCTCGGGAATTGCCCACGTTAAAAAGGCCTTGTGCCACATGACACCCTCGTGGGGGGGTGACTGAATATTGTCGGTCGCTCACTTTCTGAGCGACTGTTCAGTTCAACTCTCTTCCTACGGGCGGGAGGGACCCGAAGGAGGCTACGCCGAAGGGCGGAGTTTCCTTCGGGGAGGTAAAACCGGCCCTGAACCCGTTTATACGGGTTCAAATGGGCTATTTTTTGGCCGAGCCTAATGGGAAGGGAATTGCCCACGTTAAAAAGGCATTTAAATGAACCCTCCAAACAGAAGCTATGCCGAAGGGCGGATCTATTAAATTCCTTTTGGCCGTTTAAATTAAAAAAAAAAATAAAATTTTGGCCTACCTTACGCTGATTCTATTAGAATGCAAACAGATTTACAGGATCGACCTTTACACCATTTTTTGACCAAACATTTTCTCATTTCACATTCTGTCAGTATATATAAATATATATGTATGTATGTATGTATGTATAAATGTATGAATGTGTGTGTATGCATTTAATGAATTAATTTTTTTTCTCAAAAAATGTAATTTCAACTTACGTCGAATTTATTGGAATGCAAGCATATTTCCAGTAGTTGCCTTTTTCAACAGTTTTGATTTAATTTCATATTTTGTATTTGTACACAGAAGTAACGCGGTCTATCTATTAAATTCCTTTTGGCCTTAAATTAAAAAAAAGAAATAAAAACCTACCTTACGCTGATTCTATTAGAATGCAAACAGATTTACAGGATCGACCTTTACACCATTTTTTGACCAAACATTTTCTCATTTCACATTCTGTCAGTATATATAAATATATATGTATATGTATGTATGTATAAATGTATGAATGAAATAATGTGTATATGCATTTAATGAATTAATTTTTTTTCTCAAAAATGTAATTTCAACTTACGTCGAATTTATTGGAATGGAAAAGCATATTTCAGTAGTTGCCTTTTTTAAAAACAGTTTTGACCAAACAATTTTCTTATAGTTGTTCTAAACAGTTTTGACATTGAGAGTTCCCATATCAGAGCCATACATGTGGTACCAGAAACTTACACTTAACGGCGAGTAGTTTGAAATCGGGCTAGCCAGATATGTTTTATCGCCATAATCTCCAGATGATGCTTCAGTGTACATATAGTATCCTAAAAATTAAAATAGAGAGCGAGGGAGAGAGAGAATTAATATAAGTAAAAAGTTTCTCAACTGATTGATGTTACTTTCAGCTTCCCAACTATAGAGTTTCCTAGACGAACCCTCCGGGAATTACTTCGTCCACTCGTCAGGGAGTATCATCAAATATATATATATATATATATATATATATATATATATATATATATATATATATATATATATATAATGTTCAAAATTAATCTAGCTCAAATAAGAGTTTCTTAAAAATGCTATCCACTCGTCGTGGGTTTAAATTCGAGCAAAACTCTGCATGGGGAAGATCAGTTTTGATTATTTAATTTTATTTGTTTACTGTTAATTCTTTATTTCTTTATAAAGTGCTCTTTACTTACAAACATTGCTTGCCTCAAATGCGTTTCCACTCAGAGACATATTGGCTAGACAATTTTTTTTTATTTTTGGCGAAATTAAATCTTTCCTGTGTGTGGAGAATATACTTACCACATGAACGTGAAATGTGTTCTTTGTAAAATGTTGTCATATTTATATTTATGTACACTTTTGTTTCTACATTCTACTAAGACCTATATATATATATATATATATATATATATAAACATTAAATTTTGAGGTTACATATATTTCACTCAACAGCTATAGTTTAAATACTGAAATTCGCGTCTACGTTCTAGGCTTCCGAAATTTTTAATAGATAGAATGTGCAGTGTTTGAACATACGTCCAATATATATACATACATACATACCTACACACACACACACATATATATATATGTACGTGTACGTGTTTGCATTGACAAGCCTAGTCAGAATATATATATATATATATATTCTCACTGGGTTTGTCAATGCAAACACGTTTGTTAAAAAAATGAATTTTAACGGCTTTTAAAAAAAATAAGAATCAAAGAAGGAATTTAAATATAATCCTTAATAGAATATTAAAATGATTAATATAAATATGATATAAATATAAAATAAAAATATAAATCTAATATTTAATTATTATTAATTGATGTGGGGCCAAAGTCGGGACCACAGAAGTAAAACACGGAACACGGATTAGATGTAAGAACGATATATTAATAACAGGTTACAGAGATAGTGTAAGCGAAGCTTACTATATGTTAGTGTCCAATACTGGTAGTCGTACGCTGTTCTCACTGTCTCTCTGTCGAGTGTTGTGTCGCATACTTAATATAGACCTGGAAGAGTCTATTGTGTAGGTAGTTCCGGTCTCACAATACCCCACTTCCAAGCGTTTTCTTTTTGAAAAGGAGAGAAAAAAAATAAAACTGTTAATATTTTTTCCTCTTGGGATTTACGTCGAGCGGTTGAGTAAATTTCCTTTTCCTTTCTGACCGTCGCACTTCAGGAGAAACTTGGGGCGTGTCGAGATCAAAGTGACCGAAAATTACGTCGATCGGCTCTTCACAGCTATTTTGTAGTGATTCCTCCGATTCCTTCAAACGGCATTTTCTGAGCTGGTTCCAATGGCGTTTGTGAGTGTTTTTCGGTCTTTTGACAATATAGACCAGTTCGCCAATTCTTTGTTTTATGGTGCCTACTTCCCAGAATGTTATGTTGCATTTATAAGCCTTGAAAAAGACTTTATCGCCAGGATTGAAATATTTCTTATGAGGTGATACGGTTTTTTTTTTTTTTTAACTTTGCTTGCCGTGGAATAAGTTTGTCGAAAACAGACTTGATTTTCCTTGCGAACATTGTTTCTGCAGGCGAGCTTCCTATAGGCTTGTTCGGATTAGGGGTTATCCGATACACCTGCAGAAACTGTTGCAATGCTCTATCTGTCGGTGTGCCTAGTGTCTTTTTTAAAGCCCTTTTTAGAGTGTCCACGAAACTTTCGGCCTGGCCATTCGACCTAGGGTGGTACTGAGGCGTCGTAATGTGGTCCACCTGATATGACTTGCAGAAGTCTCTAAATTCACTTGATGTCAATTGAGTGCCATTATCTGTAACTACACAATCTACCACGCCGAAACGCGCGAATAGCTCGCGTAGAAATCCGATCGTGCAATTTGTGGTTGGTCTTTTGCATTTTAGGACCTCAGGCCATTTTGAGTGGCTATCCACAACAATGAGGTAGTACATGTCTATAGGCCCTGCAAAATCGACATGAATACTTTGCCATGGATGGTCTGTGTTTGGCCATGTTTTGCACGTCGTGGTTGGAACTTTTGCTGCAAGCGCGCATCCTTTGCATGATTCTATCATGTCTGCTATGTCCTTGCCCATGTTTGGCCAATAAACATAGCAGCGCATGAGGCTTTTCGTACTGTTCTTCCCCGGATGTCCCATGTGAAAATCCCTGAGGATTTTTCTTTGTAGGCTGTTTGGAATCATTGTATAGTAGGACATCATCGCAGAGGGAGAAAACTTCAGGCACATTGGGGTCTTTGTTGCGAATTTTGCTTTTTATGGATTCAATGAATTCATCCTCCTCTCGAGATTTTTATGCCGGCCAAAGTAACTGGGAGCTCTCTTATGGTACTCGCGATCATGTTTTTGATTTCACAATTTGTCCTTAGAGTAGCAATGATGAAATCTTCAAAGATCTCTGTATTTTTTGGAATGAGTCGCGACAAACTGTCTGCATGGCAAATATTTTTGGATGTTAGGAACTCTATCTTGAAATTATAGTTTAAGAGAATTGTTCCCCAACGAAGTAGTCTATTTGCAGTATAGACTGGCAGACCTTTTTTAGAACCAAAAATTGTAATTAGAGGTTTATGGTCCGTCTGCAGTATGAACCGTCTACCATGTAGATATCTGTGAAACATTGTCACAGCGAATATTAACCCTAGAGCCTCTTTCTCTATTTGGGAATATTGTTTCTCAGCTGGAAGTAGAGATCTTGATGCGTGAGCCACAGCTTTTAGCGAACCATCTGGCAGTTTATGCAGAATGCAAGCACCAATGCCGTACGATCTTGCATCACTTGCGACTATGATGTCGAGACTAGGGTCGTAATGGGTGAGGGAGAGGTCCTAAGTAAGCGTTTTCTTGATCTTCTCGAATGCGTCTTGGCATTCCGGGGTCCATGACCATGGTTTGCCCTTTTTTAAAAGTTGGTTGAGAGGCCCTCTCAAATTTTGCACGTTCTTAATGAACCCTTGGAAAAAGTTAGCTAGGCCGAGGAAGCTTTGTAACGCTTGAACGTTATCTGGGTTTCTGATCGCGTTGACTCTTTCTGGATCCGGCCGACGACCGTCTTTATTTATGATATGCCCTAAGTATTTAATCTCTAATAAGAAAAAGTCACACTTTGCCTCCTTAACCTTAAAACCGTATTCTTGTATCTTTTCGAATACGTTTATTATATGGTTCCGGTGCTCTGCCGTAGTTTTACTACTAACCAGTATATTATCCAAATAAGCTGTTGCGTAGTCAAGGTAGCCCAGCATGGCATCCATAACCTGCTGGAAAATTGCAGGCGCAACCTTTACTCCAAAAGCCAGTCTGTTGTATTTGTACAACTCTCTATGGGTGTTTATGCAGAGCAATTTGGAACTTTCTTCTTCCACTTCTATCTAAAGGCATGCGTCCGAGAGGTCAATTTTAGAAAAAATTTTCCACCATTGAGTTTATTGAAAATTTATTCAGGGCTTGGGAGAGGATAGTGGTGATCTTGCAAGGCATCGTTTAACGCTGTGGAAAAATCTGCGCATACTCGTATTTGATTGGACTTCTTTTTTACATAGGTGCTGTCCACTCGCTGAAATCTGTTTTTGACAGAATAGCTGCTTGTTCGAGTCTATCTAACTCTTTGTTGATTTGCTCTAGAGCAGCGAAAGGGACATTCCGTTTCTTTTTAAATACCGGTTGTGCACCGTCCTTCACCTTGAACTTAGCTTTCATTTTAGTACATTTCCCAAGGCCGCCAGAAAAAACCTGGGAAAATTGTTGTTTGAGTTCCTTTTTGAGATTTACCAAATTGGACGTTGTACTTTGTATCTTGCGACAAAATGTACTCATTGGGCAATCCCAAAGATTGAATTTTTCTATCCAATCTGTTCCAAATAAGTTATCTGAAGTTTTCAATACGTAGGCTTTGAGCTTTTTGGTAACCCCATTTAGTGTTATTGTAAGTATTACCTCACCTAAAATGTTAATCTTTTCGCCAGTTACGGATTTTGCTGTTTTATCCGTTTTTAATAAGGTCGGCTTGTTTAATTTTCGCCAAGTACGTCAGTTAATGGTTGAAAGATCGGAACCCGAGTCAAGGTGGAATTTAATGGAATTATTGAAAATATCCACAGTTACATATTTCCTTAAATTCCCATCGGCAATATCGTCAGATTAAGCTTGCCTAATGTTATTTTTGTTTTGTTTTCGTTCTGTTGGCGTACCAGCACGAAGTTAAAGTATGCCCACTTTTATTGCAATTTTTGCAATACTTTTTGTTCTTAACTGGACAGAATTTCATCCAATGCCATTTACCACAATGGTAACATGGTCCGGGCGGTTTCTTTAACCTATTTGGGTTTTGGTTACTGCGGAATTTAGGACATGAGATTTGCCTTTTGTCTTTTTGAGGGGAATAGGAGGTAGACTTGCTTCTGATTTTATTAATCTGAGCCACACCTGATTCCTCGATAGTGTTTGAGTCACACTTTACAGATATTACTCTTTGACAGAGAGTCAATCCTTGTTCGTTCTCAAGCTTGGTCAGTACCCGTCGTTTGACTTCGGCGTCTTCTGCTGATACTAGACCTTGTGCGAAAATTAAGCACTTGAAATCATCAGCAGTCAGTTCGGCTAGTTTAAAATCATTACAGAGCTTGTTTACCGATGCTGCAAACGTTAGAAAATCTTGCTGGTTGTCTTTGACTGTGTTCAGGCATTTCCAACGTTTGTGGAACAAGGTTGTGTTAGTCCCGAATAATTCCGATAGGAGCTTAATAGTCTCTGAAAAATCCAAGTCAGTGGTTTTCTTGGGTGGTATGAAGTCTACGAACCTACTATGTT